TCATAATCTTTGTCTTTTTAGTATTTATCTGCAATAACCAATTTTCACACCATTCATGGAGTTGATCAAGACAATTTTGAAGACCTGATTTTGATCGGGAGAGTATTACTAGGTCATCTGCGTATAGTAGACTATTTAATTCGGTTCCGTTTGGTAGCATGAAAGGGTCTGATTCGATTTTTTCGAAAAGTTTCGGTATTTCATTGATGTAGATATTAAAGAGTAATGGGCTTAAAGTGCATCCTTGGCGAACACCTTTTTTGTATGGGAAAAAGGGGGTTCGGCTTTCTGAGAGTTTGATCGCACATTTAGTATTAGAGTACATGTCTGTGATAAGATCATAGAAATGTCCTCCTATTTTGTTCTGCAATAATTGATAAAACAGGCCTTGGTGCCATACAGAGTCAAAAGCCTTTTTAAAGTCAACGAAGCATGCGTAAATTTTTTTGCTTTCGTTTTGGTTTATAAATTTGTCGTGTAGAGTTTTCAGTGTGAGTGAGTGATCCGCAGTTCGATTTCCAGGAATAAAACCAATTTGGGATTGATGTATCAGTTTTTTTCATTTACAAAATCCATTAGTCTAGTGTTTAGGATGGAGCAAAATAGTTTTCCCATGCAGCTAGAGACACATATGCCTCGGTAATTATTGGGATCTAAGGAGTTCCCTGACTTGTAGATCGGAGTTATAAGACCTTCCGTCCAAGTTTCAGGGAATCTTCCAGATTCTAAGATTTTATTAAATACCTTTAAGAAACTTAGTGGAGCTATGTTGGCGCTAAGTTTTATCATTTCATTTCTAATTTTGTCACTATAAACAGCTTTCTTTGATTTTAGTTTTCTAGTTGCGGTGAGTAATTCTTTTTCAGTAATAGTTTTATCTAGGTCATTAAATTGGTCTTTAAATCTTTCAGATTCTTTCAAGAGTTTTATAGTTTCTTCTTGTTTTTCAGTAATAGTGTGTTCCGAATGAAGTGTTTGAAAGTGGTTCAGCCATTGGCTCTGTGATGGTGTTTTCGATCTTTCATTGGGATTAATTTCATCTGTGCTATTTTTAAGAATTTTCCAGAATAGTATAGGATCGTTTGTAGCATTTTCTAGTTGTTCAATTTTATCTTGGTGGAATTTATTCTTCTTTATCTGCAGAGTATTTTTGTAGTCTTTTAGGGCAATGTGATATTCGTTTCTAATTTCGGTATTAGTTGGGTTTCTGTGTTTTTGGTTGGCTAGTTTTCTTAGATGGTGTCTTTTTAATCTACAATTTTTGTCAAACCATTTTTTGTTTGCAACATTATTGATCTGGGATCGGCGTTTCGTTTTTCTTATTTTTAGAGATTTTTTTGATGCTTCAAGTATTATGTTTTGGAATTCGTTTATACATTGGTTCATTCCATCTTTCTCGTCTGAGAAATTATTATTTAAAAAGTTATTGAGTTTGTTTTGGATTTTGTTGGATTTGAGCTCTTGAGTGAAAGCAGCCTCAGAGTCTTTATCCCATATATATTGTGATGGTAATTGTTCTAGTTTGGGTTGTTCAGTACATGTACTATCTATGTTTGTCTTGGGATTGCTGACTGGTTGTAGATCAAACCAAGCAACAACTTGACTGTGGTCAGAAAGATAGTTGGGAGGTTTGACAATGAGGTATTTGGTATTATGTAAAAGGTTTTGGTTACAGATTATATAGTCAATTGTACTTATACCATTTTTTCCATGAAATGTTGGCTGACCTAGTGAGTCACCAAGGGTTCGACCATTTAATATTCTTAGGTCGCAGGTTTTGCATATTTCTATTAGTTTTTTGCCATGATTGTTAATTGAGGTGTCAAAATTTTGTCTGTCTTTTAGATAAAATGAGTTTTCACTGGTGTCAGGAATGTATTCATTCCCTTCATTTGAAACAAAGTATTTCATGTTTTTTAACATAACTTATAAGTTGCTTTTGAACCAACTTTTCGAATATTTGGCTGAATGATGATAGTATTGATATTGGACGATAGTTAACAGGGTCAAAACTCTCACCACCTTTATAGACTGGTATAACTTTTGAGATTTTTATAATATCAGGTACAACTCCTTGTGCCAAAGATAGATTAATCACCTCAGCTAATGCTTCAGAGATATTGTTTCTTGCCAATTTTATAAATCTGACAGGAGTCCCAGTTGAAGATGTGTTTGTATTAAGATTATTTATCAAGTCGAGTATCTCATAACTACTAACAGCATTAAAAACGAAGCTATTTGGAAATGAGCAATTGATGAATTGTAATGGGTCCAGTTGAGACCTAGGCAAATTATTGGCAAGATTTGGACCTGTATTAATAAAGTGGGCATTAAATTTGTTGCATATATCTGATTTATCCACATAGCATTTATTATTATAAATAAGTTTTGGAATATCTATGTTTTTCTTTTTATCCCTATTGATAATCATTCCAATTAATTTCCAGGTTGTTTTTATGTTATTTTTATTAATTGCAAATTGCTGCTCAAAATATTTTTTTTTGGCTATAGATTTAACTTTATTTAATTTGTTGTTATAAATTTTATACTGTCTTACTTTATATGGATCACCACTAAGATAGTGGGTTTTAAACAATTTATGTCTTTTCTTAATTGATATAATTATGCTATTTGAAATCCAGGGTTTTCTTAGCCTGCATGGCAGGCGGTACGTAGGAAATACCGCCTGCCGCAAAACTGGGTGTAAATGAACTACCGCCCCTGAAGCATCAGCGCTATTTATAGATGCATTAATTAAGTAAATATTCAAAATTAGCCACTCCCAAGCTGCTCCCAAGTCCCAACTGCCCAACATAGAATAAATTCCTTGATTCTCATCACCGCCCGACTGAATTTTAAAATCCTCGTGAAAACGTTTTATTTTTCGTTATACAATATAAATGTACCGCCCGACAAAATAATTCAAGACAGTTAATTTTTTCATATTTTATATAGAGTTTTTATTGCCATTTTAAACTTCCAATTTGAAACAAACAGAATTTTGAGTGAAATTTCATTGTATTTTAAAGAAACTCAGTCATTCTGTCATTGTTTGTGGAGATACGAACTATTGATATATAAATTATATAAATATAAAATATAAAAAATAAATCTCCCACTGTCTTCGACATTTCAAAGTGTAGACTGTGTCTAGTGATGAGAATCAAGGAATTTATTTTATGTGTTAATATAAACCAAGCCCGTTTAGCCGTTTAGCTGCCTTAAAACGGTGGTTTAATAAGCTCAAAATACAAAGCATGCAAGTCTATACTAAAGATTCATCATCAGTCAACAACCAAACTGAAAGTATTGAACCTTATAAACGATAGTTTTTATTTGTTTACAACTATACATATTCAACGGGTATATAAGAGTTTAACTAGTTTGATAATTACTGCATCAACCGGCCCCTTGTTTATACTTTGGAGGTTCGTATATATTAATATCTATCAAGTATCTTTGGTTCAGAACATGACTGATAGGCCTATAGGGAAATCCCACTGTTCGATTCAGTGAAGAAATATCTCCTAATTTCTATCGATAGTTTTAGTAAAATGTCAACATTATTGCGATTTATGGCCTTTGAAAGTCAAGCGAGATAGTATATTATCAAATTAATACGCATGTAATTGTCTGAACGAAAATATAGACTAGCCCATACCTTTCGCCGATCATAACTTCGGCCCCTTCGGACGTATCTTCTTTGTTAAATATTCTTGTTCGAATCTCTATCAATAACACTATTTAGAGTGTTATTTTTCAGCTTGTATCTTTTAATTTGCTTCTTTTATTATGTTATTCCATTTCTGGTCTGACTTGACGTGAACTAATTTCAAAACGCAGAGTTTCAAAACGTCAAAACATTTGGTTAATGATTAACATTTAACCGAATTTAGCCGTTGATTGACAACTACATAAAAATACTAACTAATCCGTTTTTCCCGTTCACCAGCGGACGGGTAATTCAAAAACCCCTAGTTTTGCGGCAGACGGTATTTCCTTTGCTTCCCTAATTTTCGCTGCCCGTAGAAATACCGCCTGCCATGCAGGCTAGGGTTTTCTGAGTTGTCTTTTTTTTGTATTCGAAGCTTTTCTAATTGGGGCATGTTTATCTGTTAGGCTTTGCAAAGTATTAACTATCTTATTCATACTCTTGTTGATATCTGACTCAACAAACGACATAAAGTTTATTTTATGCAAATCCTCTATAAATTTGTTATTTTCAAAATTTGAAAAATCCCTGTAATATTTCTGCTGACTGTTTGGCCTCAGTTTGGAAGAAATTGTGCAAAAACATGGTAAATGATCTGATAGCTCTGCCAAGCAGATCCCAGATTTGACTACCTTTTCCGGTCAATTTGTGTAAATATGGTCAATTAGCGTTTTGGAGTGGTAAGTAATTCTTGTAGCCTTTGTAATAAGTGGCATATAGCCAAGAGAAAATAGCATGTCAAGATAGTCGGAAGTTGCCTTATTAGAAGTGTAGTTAAGAAAGTTCACATTAAAATCACGAGTTACATATGCCTCATACCCTGATTTATTAATATAGTCAAGATTTCGGCTCAAAAGTTCATGAAAGTTGTCAAGTTTATTCGATGGATGTCTGTAAACACAACCAATTATTAGGTTTTTTTGTTTTCTTGGAATTTCAATGAAGCAAGTTTCAACACCTTCAAAATCAAATTCAATATCCCATCTTCGAATAAATTCTATATCATTATTGATATAAATTCCAACACCACCGGCACTTGTTTGTGAGGGCTTGCTGAGGAATCTGTATCCCGGAATTGAAATATTGCTATTGCTATTATCACTTAGTTTAGTTTCTGAGATTGCTATAAAGCTAGGCATTTCCTTGCACATTAATAAGATATCATTAAGCAAGTTTAGGTTTTTGCCTAGACTACGTATGTTACAGTGAAATATAGAATAGCCTTTGTTATCTGTTTGTAAATACTTTGAGGTTTGTTTCATATCAAAATATTTTGATTCAATTTTATCAAGTATTTGATCGTCATAATTCTCGTTTCTATCGGGGCTTTCGATAATATCAGCATAGAGATCTTTAGACATAATTGTTTCATCATTAAGGAGAGTCGCAGAATGTATTTCCCTCATGAAGTCTAATTCTGATAGATTATAAAAGGGAAGTTCGCGCATTATTTCTAATTTAGAATATGTGTTGTTGCTCTCGGTTCTAATATAGTATTTAACGTAATGAATATTTTCGCGTCCGAATAAAAAACATTAATAACATTATGGTAATAATACAAGGTCAAACTCCTAAGGGACCACGACCAATGTTGTTTGTCGGTTCTATGCTTATACAATTTCAAAGCACAAAATGTCTTCAGACAAGTGTATTTAGATATACCTACATACATTGGGACTGATCTTATCTTGTAGTGCTGCGAATTTTGTTGGTAATGGCAGATGGTGCAAGGTGTTGTTTATTTTCAAAATCGACCAAATCAACAATTGAATCAAATGTAAATGACACACTGTTGTCAGATTCCCTCAGATAAATTCGACCATTGTTTGTCCATATGAATTTCCAATTTAGCTTCTTTTTGATATTGTTGACTGCACCAAATAGCTTCTTTCTTTTAGGGGTTAAAGATTCCGATATATATACCTTATTTTCGCCTTTCTTCCCCAGAGATTTTAGGCTCGATATTTTCCTTCCAGCGATTTTCTTTCGATTTGTATAGAATTCATTCTTGACGTCTCGCCTCGTAAACTTCACAATAATTTTTTTATCCTTGTTCTTATTATATGTTGCAGGACATGAGCTGTTGATATATCTCGGTCGTCGATTTTTATGCCCATTTCTTCACTCAAGGATACAACAATGTCGTTGCATGATTGACCTTCTGATGGATTGACACCCGATATTTCGACACAATCGCGCCGTAGATATTGAGCTAGATCTTCTGACACCGTTTCTACATTATTCAGATCCGTTTGTAGGACACTGGTTTTCTTTTCTAGCTTATTACTCTTCTCGTTTAAGCTTTGCAGTTGCTTAAGTAATTGATCATACTTCGCCGATAGGAAATTATACGACTCGTCCATTTCGGCAATTTTCTTCTCGTATTCAGCAATTTTGGCCTTTGCAGGCTTCAATTCCTTTTCAATAAGCTTCTTGACTTCTTCTAGATTAACCATACTGAAATATTTAAACTCAAAATACAAGCTACACGTATATTTTTTATCAAACTAGGCAGAGCTGTAATTACACAACAGTCGCCATCTTGTAAAACACAAAGGAGAGATACGAAAGGAGAGATAAATATTCATTATATAATGCCTTATGGGTGAGCTTCAATAGGTTGAATTCTATTCTACCGGTGATCGGAAGCCAATTTAAGCACTCTAAATCCTCCATCTTGGCTAATTTCCGTAGTACGAAGCCTGCACAAGCATTTTGCAGGAGCTGCAACTGTTTCAGCTGGTACTGTGGTAATGGATGAAACACAGTGCAGGCGTAATCGATTTTTGCAAGCAGTAGATTTACTGCAAGTGTTTTCCTTACATGAAAAGGAGCCAAGTTCTTAAGTTGTCGTAGCAATTTCAGTATTCCATAGCAACTGGGCAACAAGTTGTCAACTTGATCACCCCAGGCAAGATGTTGGTCAATATACACACCAAGCAACTTGGTACAAGAGATTCTCTCTAGTGGGGTGTCGTCACACATAGTCGGCAGTAGTCGTTCATCCAGTTTATGTATACGTGACATCTGGAGGGTGGAAATAAGCATCCATTTTGTCTTGTCACATAGTCTGGAAATGACATCATTCACCTCAATTGAGAACAAGTGTAGATCTGATGGTTTACAGTGGATGAGAAAAGTTGTGTCATCAGCATATTGAAAAACAGGGACATTGGAGTTTATCCTGCAGATCAGCCACGTAGAGATTGAAGATTGCTGGTCCTAGAATGGACCCCTGTGGAACACCAAACTGAACTGTGGCTAAACTAGACTGTTTGTCATCAATTTGGACAAATTGTCATCATCATTAACTAAACCATACTAGTGAATGCTCCCACAAAATATATTAGTTCATTCAACTCTTCAAATATTTTATAAAATAATTTTATAAAAAATATCAACTTTACAGATTTTACAGTAACTATATGTCAACAATGTAAGAATAACAACAAATTTCAAACATTTTTTGTTCCAATAATGGAAATCAATGCTTCTTTTGTGGTTAACTCCATCACAGTTGGCTCTACCTTGGCTAATTCTTCCTCAAAATCAGGAACCGCTTCAATTCCAAATCCATCTTTTGCTGTATATGTGCAGAGTTCCTTGCTATCATTATCTATTTTCACTCTCTGATTTTTGAAGACATACGTTTTGTTGACTTCAAGCTTGTCAGCCCACTCTTCCAAAAAAAACCACTAATGGATCCAGTGGGATCAACCAAAATGGCAGAAGATTTTGTCAGTGTTTTGTTTTCAAGCTTAATGGTTTTGCTTCCCGAAATCTGGCTTACAGTGGCTTTATTGTTACTAACTGCTGTGGTATTTCCCAAAGCTTCGTCATTTTGAATGGCAGTGCATCTGGCTGGACAGTTACAGAGCTGTTATTCTTGATGGCAACATTGCTAAATTTCTTGTATTCAAACTTGGTAAGCTTGCTTAGACTCCTGTTTTGCATTGTTGACTTCAATGGTATATTTTTATTGGGGGGAAAGCGTATATTGCTTTAACCACCAATGCATTTTCCGATGTCTGCAATTGGCATGTGGTATATTTCACTTTCCTTGAATTGTGGACAGGTGTGACATTGTGAACATAACACAATAGTTCTCCACCTACAATTAAAGGGGGGGGGGGGTGAATAGCTTTTGGATTGTAGGATTCCACCAAAAAAATTGTTCGGATTTTGCAAACATTTTACTCGGATTTGCAAATCTTATTAATACAGCGGATTTATCTAATATTTTGGCTCAGATTGTGGATTTTGCTTGCAATTTAGTTTGGATCCTGGATTGTGATTTCATAGGAGAGCTTTTAGCAGATGCAAATTTAGGGACCGGTCATAATAAAGTACAGGGGGGCTGGAAAATTCAAATTTTTAAAAACATATTTTTTGAAGACCCACCCCTCCCAAGTAAGGCATAATTATTGATGGCCCACCCTTTTGCCCTTGCATAAAAATTGATGACCCACCCCTGCATTGAAAATTAGCTTCAAGACAAAAAGTAGACTTGCTTCAAGTCTCTCTTTCTCTTCACTTTCTTTGTGTTCTTTCTCTTTCCACTATGGTGTGTACTACATGACGTAGCCAACAAGTGGTGAAAGCTCATGGATAATAATTTATAAAATTTCATGATATCTTTTATTTGTCTCTGATAAAACCATGATAAAGCACAGTATGTCAACGATTTTTTAATACTTGCTATAAAAGCAAACTGCAAACTTAAGGATGTATATGAAAAATGTAGTTAATTATTAAAAGTCAAAACTTAAATTGATATGAAGTGCAACGTTTCCTGTTCGTATTTTATAGATAATTATATCAATCAGAGTCTCCAAAAAAATGACGAGTTTGATATGTTGTTGCCAGTCGTCCAACTCTTGTATTTACAGGGATGACTTGGTTTTCATTGGTTTTACTTTTACTTTACTGACCATGTAGCTCAGTTGGCAGAGCATTGGGCTAGTATTCCAAAGGTCGTAGGTTCGATTCCCACCGTGGCCGGGCATATTTTTCAAGCTCGCCCGGTGTGGATATACACTTAGAGTAACATCACAAACATATAT